AGAAAAGAAAAAAAGAAATGAACATATAAACATACCACACATTTTATATGATTCGTCCTCTCCGTTAGGGCAATCTTGTTGACCGTCACAGTGGTCCTCTTGCTTGACACAGACCGTAGTGTTACCGCACTGGAATGAGCCCACGGCACAGGGGACGTGGCCATCAGCAGACACAATCAGGTAGATAGCTGAAAAACACAATGTAATTTGTCACATCTAACGCAATTCGTGCACGTACGTGTGTTATGTAAACTTATCTATAATACTCGTGTTTTTGTTCTCATCTTTGCTTCATGATAACGGATAAAGTTACGATAAAACCCAGCCGCCACATTTCCAGCTACATAATAAATCTTAATCAGGCTGCCTCGTGTGTACAGTTCTTATCGCACATTTACAAGCAATTCTAATTTGTAATTGCCCTCATAAAACACCAATGATGGCGTATATTCCAAGTTCAGATTTCTAGGATAAGAAACAGACAAGCAAACACCCACCCACTCGTTCGTTTCTTCACTTTTTTTTTTATTCAGCCATCCACCACTTTCCTCATTCAGAAGTTTATACATTCAGCCACCCATCCATTAATATTTTCAATCTTTCATTAAGGTTTTTATACGGACTAGTTTTCACTTTTTTTTATAAGATGAATAATGTCCAGATATGGCTTTAATGACAGCCAGCAAGACACGCTCTGATGCAAGAGTATACCACCCTGCCCTCCCCATGTTTCATAGCACCAAGTCCACGTTCCAACACGACCGCGAAGGCTCTTCAATACGGCTGAGTTATTGAAGTATTTCACGACATAGACATCGCAATTTAGAATTTAAGTGTGTTTTTCGAATGCTGGTTTTGTAGATAATTGGTCCATTATAACAGATTCAAGGTTACAAAACAGTTATTTTACTGTGTGGTTAAGGTAGATCTGTGTCAATGATTTTTTATACGCAGGCGTGAAGGAGCTTCTCTGGGGATGTGAAAGCAACGATAAAGTTAATGTAGACGGACAGATTACTTTTGCTATTCAAAATTTTTGTTACGACTGTCTTAAATTTGCACTAGTATTTTGTCACATTTCTACAGTGATCAAATCTCGGTAATCAAGTTTTAAGTAGGTTGTTATACTAAATGACCAAGATATGCGGTTTTCCAATTTTACATTTTGTATTATATTCCGACATCACCAATAGATGTATGGTAAGCTTACAACCTAAAGTACATGGCTTTGTAACATTTTAGGATTGCCTGACCTTTGTTTTTATTTTCTATTCGGAAAAGACAATGGACGTAAATTATTTCCAGCCATATCGTTATCTATTTCCTCGGCGTAATGGCAGTCAGAAATTATTTAGCAAATCAATTTCGGGTCAAATCACCTATTATCTGCTAAGTGCCTTAATTACAAAATGATTACTTTAAATATTCTTAGATTTATTGCACAGTACTGACTTACAAGTAATCCCTTTTAGAACTGTTAAGCCCCTATCCGGGAAATTAGAGAAAACGCGCTGGCTTGTCATCGTTACAAGAAAAAAACAAAAAAGAGAAATCCAATAAAAAGGGCTTTCTTGTTATAATTACGCAGTATGTAGATTGTCTGCAATTCTTTGGTTTTGCTTAATCACTTAATGGCGGCAATATTTTCTTTTACGATAGACGTCTGCATGAAACTGATACTATTCAAAAGAACACAGGAGCTCATGCAAGCGCAACATGTTCTGTAAGTTGCAAGTGATGGATCTTTCTTCACGTTTCCATCACCACGTAGTCTTAAAGTCTTACGATTGACGGCGGACTATAGACGTCATCAGCTATGAGGTAATGAGAAAAATTAACTTCGTGGGATGACAAAGAAAAACGGCACAATGGAGTTTTCTTGAAATCTCCGTTCCTTATCCTTGTTGTAGGATGTACGTCCCCTGGAAAAGCTGTCTTAGTTTCTGGTGCCGTATAGACTATACCAAATGTGTATGCTTCTTTTGCAATCGTATTAAAGTCTGCTGGTATATGTACATAGACGAGATTCGTCTTTCATCGGTTACCCCCTACCCCATTTCCAAAGTTGCCTCCGAATTTTTAGAATCAGAATACGTAGATCTAATCGGTGCTCCATTAAGGTGGAATGCATAAAAAAGCACCCTTTTGTTTTTGGGATACTAATTTCAACAGGAAGTGAGCAGGAGCAGCACCGACCTACGAGAACAACTAGCCAACCAATCATAATCCTTGTATTCTTCTTTCATTACTATTAGCTCAATATTATCAGTGCCATTTGATCGTAAATGGATGCATGTTCCTACCACCATAAAATTCACCATTCATCATTGATTCAGAACTTGGAATATTTACCTGTGAAGAAAAGACAAATTCTAACGCTCTCAAATATCTGTGGCGAGAAGAAGAATTGGAGTTAGGGAAACCACGGGTTATCAAAAACAAACAAAACGTCTTTCTTCTAGGCATGAAGATACCATACAGAATATACAGAAGGTTGTTTGCAGAAACACGAGCAATAAATCTCAGTTTGGAAGACACAGAACATAATGTTTCTGACTTACAGGGTGCCCTTTAATGTCACATTTGACTCTCAGATCGGAAGGTGACTTATCCGGTCATTGGCCTAACACTACACGTGTTAAACTTGAACTGTCATTTTTCATCTCCTCCCTTTGCCAGAAAACAAGTTTTATAGTGATTTGCGCGGTTACTGAGATATTCTATAACTTATATACCCACGCACGCCAGTGTAGTATTGCTTTGTCTTTACAGTTGTGTACATGTATATATATTTCACCTGTGGGAGTGCTTATCCATTTTCTTTCGTCTTCGAATATTGCACGGACAGAGAAGTGATTTTTGCATAAAATTCGCGAGTTTATGATTAAATTATACTATTATAATAACAAAATCATAACATTATAAAACTAGAAAAACATCATGTTTACAGCATTTTATCTGCATTAACCTGCATAACTATCGAAAATTCAACATGATGCAGAGAAATTCAAAATGATGAGAGATGAAAATAACGCACCTTTGTCTGGATCAAGTTCAAGAATTGATCCAAAAAGCACGTGTAGATACAATGCTTTTAACAGATGAAAAAAATGTACATGTTAGTGGACATTAACAGAAAAGAATAAAAAACGCGATCAACTTCCATTATTTGGAGTGTCTGGAAACCATTATGCATTTAAGTATATCCGTTATCACATAAGAACACAGGGGATTTATTAATGGTTGAATTTTCTTTCCTATCACTTTTGTCAATTACCTGACACAGCGTTTTCAATTAACTGTACGTTTGGCTACCCTTCCACCGTACCATTCTGAACTCTTGGATGGTCAAAAGTTTGTTTAAAATAATAAATCATGGTCTAAATACTAGCTGTAATCGCTTTTAAACATATTCAAACAATCTCTGAAACCCTTTGTACCTCCTACATCAATCAGTGCAACAATAAAACGTCAGTCATTCGTGCTCTTTCTCCTACGCCGACCCCCCTCCCCAACATACACAATCACACAGACACACACACGCACACACACACACACAGACAGACGCACACACGCACACACACACACATACAAACACACACACACACAAGCACGAACACACACACACACACTAATACAGTGGCGCAGGTAACTGCAGATAACAAATAGTGAAGGATAACAGTGAGTTTCGGTGGCCCGCCCTCAGGAGGATACATTCTTTCTCCAGTCTGACATGCAGGTGAGCTCGGCGCATTTTAAAACGGTGCTCAGCATGCTTTCGAATTGTCTTGACAGGGAAAAAGAATCACTCTTCTTGTAGAACAGGTCGTTAGCAGTGATTACACGGACGACTCAAGCCGCATGCTTGTAAGGGAAGGATACCGGTTGTTGTTGTGTGGTTAGTGAAGACTGTGGTTTCTGCTGACACCTTGGGTGGCGGATCATTCCGAAACACGGAAGCTTATTGTTTTTTATATTTTTTCTTTAAAAAATGAATATTCCTGCGATAAATAAATAAGTACTTCTCAGTAAGCTCGAACTGAATAAGCATTTACAAAATATTGAATTATTGGCGGTGCATGTTGGAGAGAGAGAGAGAGAGAGAGAGAGATCGCATTGTGAACATACACAAAAAAGTGCACTTATACAAAAAACTTAACATAACTACTTTAACTACTAGTTTGTATCCTCGTTTGCCCTGCACTTTAAACGTATTATTCACATTCACTAATATATTTTTGAATATAAATACATTGCACACACCTACTTTTAGAAGTGTATTCATTATAGTTGTGTGCCATCACCGTGTATTTCAGGAACCACAGTTTATCACTGTCGTCGTTATTTTATACTTATCATTACCGATACATTGCAGGTGAGTGATGTCGGGTATTTTAGGTGGAGGTCGTGTGACCCTGCAATCGAGGTGGAGGTCGTGAAATCCCAAGACAGAGCTCTCCAACTACGCGCTCTAGGTTAATATAGACGACAATAGATTGTTTAGGACTTTCCTGGATTATAGAGCCTATATGACTACATAACCAGTAAACGCACGAGGTTTCTTACAGCCTCGCTAGATGGAAGTTGAGAGAGCCGCTAAGACAGCGTGGCTCAACGTAAAACGAATCGAACCGTGCGCCCAGCCAAATACAAATTCAGTCGGATGCCATATCCCGTCCTTAGAAAACTCAAAAAGTAAAACATAAACAATACTGGAATACACCTGTTAAAGGAGTCCTTACAGTCTATTCAATTCTGTTCAATTTCCTGGAATCGGAATCACAGCTCACAGCATAAAATTAAAACCATAGATTCGCTTTCAAGTGGATCAGCTAAGCGAGATAATTCACATCACCTCAAAAATGCCACCCACACGTGGGCTTATAAAGTGTGCAGCTTTTCTAATACAACCAATTTCTAGTCAGCTTAGTTCAAAATATGCAGGGTCCTAAGCATAAGCCAACTGTGGAGCTCTCAAGTTTGTCAAATTTTCTGTAAACAGGCTATGTAGATAACAAGGAAAATGATTTCTCATAGGTTACCCTGTAAAAGTTAACGAGATCGTGCAAAGTTAATAACTCTCAGTGAAGCGCGTTTTAAAACATTCATCCTTGGGGCTTGAAAAACCCTGGCTACAAAAAAAAAATAAATAAATAAAAAGCGTTTTATCTGAAAATTTTCTAGTGCA